AATTTCTCAGTAAATGACGTGCAAGTATTTTTCGCGCACTATATAGCAACCTATCGTCTGTATTAACGTAAAATTCAGAACAGTCATAACGAAAAAGATCGCGGGTTGATGACGATAGTTCGATCGCGTGGTTGACTCGCTCGGCTTGGTTTGCACGAGACCGAGCGGCGCAACATCCTTCGCGTACTGCGGCCGAGGGAACAATTGACCGAGGCAACAACACCTGACACTCGCGTGTGGGCGATCCATCCACGTGGCCGGTCCGTTCACCAGGTGGTGCAAGAATAGAGAGGGAAATACGCACCTCGATACTGACAGACTACGCCGACGACGACGTCATCTTACCGCGTAGGAGTGTAGGGNGGGAAACATTAAAAAAGATGTCGGCTCCTTTTATCTTTGTTAACGTTAAATGTCTTTGGTAAATGCATCCTAGATATCTCGCCTAGATATTGACACGTATTCTCGTAGCGCATTTTATTATAAGCTCTTTATGTGCTAAAATGTATATTGAGAGATAAGATTGCATTTAATGTCAATAAAATGAGAATTTTTATTTATAACGGTAAATCTCTCTCCACGATGAGAGAATAATAAGTATATAGTGGAGTTACTTGTGTATACTGGCTCGTATTCTCACCGCATATTTAGTGGCGATTTAATTTTAGATTTAATTTGATAAATATGGAGATGGAGTTTTTAATGTCGATAAAAGGATAATTTTTTTTTAGACGAGCACGTTAAATGTATATTAAGATTATGGACTACAATCTGAAATTTTATGTTTTACAACTCTTTACTTTGATAAATATCACAAATAATTTAATTGTAATATAATAAAAATATAATAAATACATTAATTATTAAACATATTAAATATAATAAATAAAAAAAACATCTTCGATTTAGAAAAACTATCTATATAAAATACTGTTCTACTCTCTCTTTCTCTCTCAATTTTTCAGTATCTTATCTTGACAGGATATTTTTAAATATCCTTTTTACATTCACAAGATTATAAGAAGATTAACTATCAGAGAAATTTCGTTTAAAAATCGAAGTTTTCGAACTGTGACTATTTATTCCTTTATCGCTTTAACATACCGAATGAATATCGATACCATATGAGAGTTGCGCCCTAATTAGAAATATAAACAGCTGATCGTTAAATGCATCAGCTGTGCTAGACTAAACAGATGTCAATGAGCAATATGTAACATCGCCGACATGTATTTTCAGCGGGAATGGATAACATAAATGTCTGCAAGCGTGTTTACGAGATAACGTCGGAAATCCGTTGTCTGAATAAAGAAAAAAAAAGAGAAGAAAATATTATTGACCGAATTATACCAAAGCGCAGATTGACAGCAATCTCTTTTTGTAATGTATGCAATATGGAAGAAAGAAAAGTAGTTAATCAGAATCATAAGAGTCTAAAAAATCAAATTTCTTTTATTACAACTTTTGAAAAATATGATTAGCAGTTTTTAAAACATACAAACAGTGACAAATAGGTATTATACAGAGATGTATAATTGAAATTGTCAAACTGGATTGTCATATTATTTGCTATGCACAAGAACGTTATTTTTTTTGCATGAATGGGTATAATAATCGTGAATTGCCATATCTAGAAGAATATTAGATAAACCATGTTTTATAACAGTATCAACAATCTCTCTCTCTCTCTCCCTCTCATATGCGCGATATGTGAAAAATGCACGAGCCAATACGCTTGGCTTGTTTATTCTCTAACAACGGAAATACGTGAAACGATGTTTCTCTAGCTGCCATGGTAAAGTTTAATATCATTTTTTATTTCGAAATAATCGATATCGATCTTAATTAAGAGAATTTGATATGTTGTAGCTGCCGAAACAAATTTTGATGTATCAATTATTCTCGTGTGTGCTGTTTTAATCTAATCTATCTTATGATTTATAACTATTTTGGAAATTATCAGTTTCGAAACTATTTACCAGATCAGAATCCGAATTAGAGTTGAACCACGATCTAGGATCCCAAGAAGATATATTCCGTTTTGGAGACGTAATGATAATACTCCGAGATTCGGACGGCGATTCGTCTTGGTGCGGCATTTTCGGCGAACAAATGTATTACCAATTCGCTGATGATTTCAACGACCGCTAAAGTAGTATCATCCGGTTTATATTTACATGTGATCGCTCGACAACATTATCGTATTCAGCTTTTGTAAATATTCACATAAAGCAGCGGTTCTCAAACTATACTCCGATAACGTAAAAACCGCAAGAAAATAATTTATACACGACCACATTATAATTTTAAAAATTAAATTTATCTAAAGAAACTAGAATTCATCTAAAGATGTAACATCTTTTTCATTCTCGATTCGCTCATATATATAATAAGAATTTATAACAATTTAATATCTAAATATTTTTATCTGAATATTTTTTTGTTATAATAATATTTTTCACATGTATAATATATAATACGCTTTTTAATCGATATTTTTCTATTATTTTCCTTCTTTAGATTTTTATGCGATTAATAAATATTAAATGACAAATATAGTCACAAAGCTATTAATTCGCACCCATTAATTTTGCTACCATTGTCAATTGTAATGTTTACGTAAATGCAGAAGTGTATTCGACATTTCGCACTTGATGCACATAGATTAATCGATTTGCCATACAAATCGAGTAAATACTTGTGTAGATACATGCTTGTTGCCGATCATTCGCATCGATTTAATACATCGATGATTGAAGAGCACACATCAATTGTATTATGCAATTTTCTTGGAATTCATCAATGTGTAAATAATTGATGTATCCTGTGGCGTGTTAAACCATTTCCACGTGAACAAATCGCGTTCAAATAAATACAAACAGTAGTTTGACATTTGAGATGCATCAATTTAATTGAACCTTTTAATAGTGCATGTTGTTCGATGATGCAATTATTCGTAAATTATACGAGTCATAAACATTGATTATATCAACAATCATACAAGTAAAAAATCCATTATTCATTTAATCAATTACGTCAAATATTCCGTAGCATTTTATCTTAATAGTATTATATAACTAATTATGGTATATTTAATATTTATTTTATAGAGTATTTAATAATTATTTAATGTTTATTATATTAAATCTCATCTGTGTAAAAATTACGAAGGGAAGAACTCTTTATCGGTTCACGATCAGGATATATGCAATCCCGGATGCTATCAGGGTTTGTGATAACAAATAGAGCTGATAAAACATAATCGCTTCGCTTTCGCTTTGCGTGCTATCGAATTAACATGCCGATCAGCCGAGTAAGTAAAAAGTATTGTAGTGACTTACCGATTGAAATAAAAGATCGTTCTCTCGGAAAATCCGATATCGTCATGAATAAGAAAGTCGCTTTCTCGTCCACCTGAAACATAAAAAAGCGAGAAATAAAATAGCTGTTCAAAAATTTATATTCTCTATACTATATGAGTATTACATATAGATAATATTTTCTTGTTATCTCCACAAATCATGCAAATTTAACACGTTCCCTTCGTGTCGACCGCAAATATCCCACGCTGAACTGTCCGTTTAGACCGTTTCATATTTTCGCTATTAATAAAAATGTAACATTATCATAAAATATTTTATAAAATTATGTATTTTTTTATGTCTAAATATATGTAGTGCCGTTATTACACCATGAGGCGTATATACCCCATGTTGTATATGTATAACGATCTATTTAAGTATTCTTTTGTCTCAAGTTTCATATGTCAAGACTGTTATTTCGTTCATTGTCGCATGAGTCTAATAAGCATTTGATGACAGTCATGTGACAATATACATATAATCAAAAAATTATATGATAATTTATTTTCATTAAAAGCATAAAAAATATATAGAAAATAAATATATATATATGTAAAAAACAGAGGATATATGATATGTACGAGTACATAAAATACATATACATATATGTATATATTTATAGAACAATCATCATTTATATATAATATATACTTCATCAGTTATATATATATAAGACGTATTTAACTCTTTTTCCTATTATTTTATGGAAATCATATTATAGATTTACATGTTTTTTTACTTAATTTTCTCGTTTAAACGTTACATTTTTTATGGATAATAATCATTTTTATGTGCAATCTCTTATAAATATAATAATATATTGATAGGCAAAATTATTAATTTCAACAACGTATGGGGCGTATTCGACTCCTGCGATATGAACGGAAAGTTCAAAATCGGTCCAATATGGGATGTTACATAAATATTTTATGATATTTGCATATAGAGAAAGATTGATTCGTATAATTTTTCTTGTTACTAAAAAATTCAAAAGATTTTGCGCCAAGTTGTTGAAAAAATAATCAACACAAATATGACTTAAATCCCACATCTATTACACTAATCAAATATAACGTCCACGAATTTCTACTATATAATATCTCATACCCTTGATTTATATCAGAAATGACATGTAATTGACGAATCCGATGAGACTTTCTGTCATCGCAACGTTAATGATCCGATTTTTATAATGCATCTTTAATCTAAGAAAAAAAGTTAGAAATATCCATGAGTAAATATCCACGAAACAAAGATAACCGCGCGTTTGTGGGAAACACACGTATGTACGCATGTATGTGCGTACATGTACGTACGTTTGAATAATCACGATTCCTATTACAAAGGAATACCGTCGCGGAATGGAGATCCCTAATCCTAACCTCACCTGGGAGGATCCCGCTATTCTCCGAGGTCCTCCGCTCTTCAACCGGCAACGGCGTCGACTCACATACGTTACATAAGCACCGCTCTCACTCGCGATTACATTTTACTGATGTCGCAAGACCGTGGCGAACGAAAAAAAACAACGTATGAACGATAAAGAAAGGAGAACACAGAGCGCGAAGATACCCGCTTCCTTCGTTTCTTCTCTCCGTTCAACTCCGTTAATGCCGCTATTATCTACCAGGCGGTGCGCGCATCGCATCGATCAGCTGATCGCCCGCGCACGTGCGCTCATGTGTCAATCGCGTACTTTTTTTATATTTTAAATATATATGCAATATATATATAATAAATGTATATTTATTAATATTATTAAGTTTTTTCATTATCAAAAAATTATAGAAAGATGTAATCAAATGCAGAAAAAAATGGGTTTATCACATTGTTGAGTCTCGTTTTTTTGTGTATAGTTCGTTCTTTTTTTATTGCATATTCTACATCTTTCTTTTCTTCACTCTAAAGAGCTAACATATATATAATTAGCTATAGTGGAAAGTAAAGTCTAATTACAAAGTGTAGTTTGTAATTAATAAGCACATTTTGTGTACAATATTGTACATAACCTCTTAAAATATACACGAATAAACACGTGTTATATTTTGACACTGTATTAGTGAAAGAAGAATTAGATAAGCATTTAATTAAAAAATATTTAACGGGATCATGTCGACGACACTACCGATGGCACTACCGCAAAAGAAATACTATAGACAACGCGCACATTCAAATCCGATAGCTGATCATTGCATTGAATAGTGAGTGGAATTTTGTCATGTTTTTCATCGACTTTTAAGATTATATAAATTATTTTGTATCATTTATTATTTACATTACAGTCCCATAAAACCAGAATTAATGGATTGGAGTGCCTTGTATCCACAATATTTTTCCAACAATACTGAGGAAACACAAAAACGCGTAGAGTTTGCAGATGTTGGTTGCGGCTATGGAGGATTACTGGGTAATTTACCTTTTGTAATCTAATATCTATCTTATTGAAAAATCAAAGTGATCAATAAATCAATTTTCAGTTGCCTTATCGTCAATGTTTCCCGATAGTCTAATACTTGGTATGGAAATCAGAATAAAAGTATCAGACTATGTTATGGATCGCATTGCTGCCTTGCGTTCGCAAAACCCTGGTCAATATCAAAACATTGCCTGCTTGAGAACAAATGCTATGAAATATCTGCCAAATTATTTCTTCAAAGGACAAGTAAAGATAAAAGTCTTGTTTGCATGACATATATAAAAATATAAAAGTATATAGTTTGAATTAATTAGCATTCTTAATTTGTATAGTTAAAGAAGATGTTTTTCCTATATCCAGACCCACATTTCAAAAAATCAAAACACAAATGGAGGATAATAAACAAATCTTTATTAGCAGAATATGCTTATGTGTTAGCGGAAGAGGTAAGTGTGTCGCTTAATTTTTTATATTAATTTTATGGAATCTAATTTTTATTATTATATATAGGCGACTGTATACACTGTAACGGATGTGAAAGATTTGCATGAATGGATAGTTCGGCACTTTCAAGAACATCCATTATTTAAAGAAATTGCTAAGGAGGATTTGGTAAGTATATATAGCTATTTATAGCTATTTATTTTTATATATGGAAATATTGAATAAATTTTGTGTTAATATAGGCAACAGATCCTGTAGTGGAAAAATTATATGAAAGCACTGAAGAAGGTCAAAAAGTAAGCAGGAATAAAGGAAATAAATTCCTGGCTGTATTTAGAAGGATTGCAGATACTTACATTGCAACGAGTAGCTAGCATGAATGGCAGTTGTATATAACTGTATACATATATTAATATCTGACTACCATTATATGGCGAAAGATATTCTTGATCGTTCCTCGTCTTCAGTGTTTGCTGATCTTGATGTCATATAAAGATCTTCGTCGTCCTGAATTAAAATCCGTGTTTCTAAAACGAATTAAGCAGCGATTGAAACAATTAAAAACTGTTTTGTAAAAAAAAAAATATATTTCGATATACCTCGTTCGGCTGTCTTTTTTCTATTCATGCCAGATACTATGTTCAAATAGCCTTTATGTCTGATGTCTGTATGTTGAATTAGATGCACAGTCTTTAAAGCAAACTCTTGGTGCAGTATGATAAATAACATCTGAAAAATACAAAGAATTGATTGACAGAGTGCTTTTTTTTTAACAAACACTAGAGATAACATCTTACTCTTTCCAATATACGATTGATTAATGCTCGTGGTGGTGAAATATACGATCTTTGTATCAATCTTTTTCTTTCATGTAAATTCATTGTGAATTGTGAATAAAACAAATTCGATTCATTCTGCAGAACATCTTGCATAATGTTTTTAAATATTTTGCTGTTGACTATTTCCCTAAAAAATATAATGAAATATATCAAATAACATAATAAATAAATATTAAATAACATGAAATTAGAATTTTCATAAATAAATTTTATAAATAAATTATAAATTTAAATTTTTTGCTCATTGTTATCATATTTCTAAAATTAAAAATTTTACCATAATAGATTTTCTATAATAAAGGAAGATCGACTAATATCCTTTTTCCCGAATGTCAATATCTGTCTATCATTTTTCTCGATGCGTATTTCCTTTGGAGGTGCATTTATTAATTCATCCATTAGACTAATTTTTAGAAATTTATCTTCCACACTATATATAGAACATCGAATCGTTATGGCTTTATAAAAGATTTGAGGTTTCTCCAAAACTTCCATTGATGGTTTCTAAAAACCAAAAACAAAAAAAATGAGGTAAGATAAAATTTAATGTTTAAAAAAGATTTCTTGATTTTTATATAACTTGTGTCTTCTATTCAATTTTCCACAAATTTTATTTGTGAAATCTTTTCTTGAATCTTGAATCCTTTCGAATATTATCAAATATTTAGAATTTTACACAGAGAGAGGGATTTTTTGTATTATATATATATATTTTACTTACTGGAACGCTGACGCCTTTTTCTGTGATAGTAAATTGCCCTTTTAATTCTCGAGACAAATCTTCTAACTTGTACACACTTCTCTGATAAGCCCGTCTTTGGCTGGTATTAATAAATTCGCACGGAATGTTAACATCAATCACGCAAGGGTATTCTTCGGTATTTATAGCTACGCGAAAACTTTTAACAGACATTGGTTTTATCAAACCTTTTTGTGGATAAACTTCCACGTGGATTACTCCGGGAATATCATTTCTGAAAGAAAGAAATAAATACTCATTTTATTTTAGATCAATACATAATTTTGTTCATAGTTTAATTTAAAGCGATAAACCTCTTCCATTCATAAGCGAGTACATCTTGCACTAAATTATTGTGCATCATAATCATTTTTATTGCGTGACTATGCGTAGCTATGTGCGAAATATCTATACAGTCAGCACTAAAGTATACAGGAATATCATCTTCATCTTCGAAATTACATTTGGATGGTATATATTCTCCAATTGCTGCTGGTTTATGTGGCAAGGAAGATTCGCCTTCCAATATCAGTTCTTCTTCTTCATCACCCAGAGTCAGGCATAATCTGCCCTGTTCAAATGGAAAGAAATAATTGTATATTTTTAGGCTTGGAAAGAGAAACAAATTATTTATTTTTTTTTTTTTCATTAAGTTTGTTGTATATAATGACAAACCTTAAATGTGCCAAATTGTCGTGGTTGAAATTTTAAAAGAATCGGGACAGAGGACTGCGGATTCACGATTGCATGTGGAGTCGCACAGGAAAAAACCTCATAGCAGTATTCCTGATTTATTTCGCGCATCGTTCTGGGATTTACAGAGAACGGGATGCTATGATTTGTACCATTATGCACCCAACATACCTGAAAAATTTTTACACTACGTGTTATAAGCGTTATATTATATTTAAATGAAAATAATAACCTGATAAATAGGACTTTTATCTCCCAAGTAAATATGCTGAAACTTAAATTGCGTGCCGTTTAAAAGGTGAAGCTTATTAACAGAATCGGATAATCCTTCGATCGCCATGAGGAAAAAAATATGACGATTATTTCCAAGGTCTAAGTCCCACTTGGATTCAGTCTTTTCTAATAATACGTAACGCAGCTCTAGAGTTATCCAGTTTTCTTCTCCTGGCTACATGTTATTAAAATATATATGAAATAATGATAACACACACAAATTAATGATTAAATATTAATGTAACGTTATACTTCAAAATTTCCTGTTTTTGGTTGTACAGAGCACACTTTTCTGTGCAAACAATCGTATTTCGCACGTTGCAACGAGAAGCCTTTGGCAACGGGTCGGCAAGAACAGAGCTGCACTCTTTTAATATTCCAAGAAGCAATCACTGGAGTTACGTTTCTTAAAAGCAATTTTACAACAACGGGACTTTCATGTAAGGCCATCGCTGGAAAGTTTACGTACAGCGTTTGTGACGTTTCCGCTTGTAGATCTTGAAGTAACGTATTGAACCTAAGAAAAAAATGTATAATCTATGTTTATATAAAAGTAAAATTATCGAGATTGCAAAAATGACATGAAATTTAGCATACACATTTATTTTCATCAGCTTCCAAAGAAAAGCTTTGCTCATATCCGGATAAGGCCCGTAACATTGTAAATTTGTGACCTATTATTCATTATAACATACAATTGTTGTATATGTAAATTATTATACACCTAGTATACTATTAAAATTTTTATTAATAAACTGTTAATGCCCCTCTATTTTAAAATAGCATTATTTCGAATTATAATTTGGAATAATGCTATGTACTGCTTGTGTATGTATTTACTTTTAAGGTGGGTAACACGCATAAAGAGCTCAATTTGCAGATATTTCTTGGCATCTGATTTGGAACTAATGCGATTGTGTGAAGATTTAATCTCACAAAATATTGAAGGAAAAGTTCGTAATATCCCGGTGTGGTGGGTGTAAGAGAAACGGTGATCATTTTATCTTGTCCGGCGAAAACGGTGTCCATAATCGGCTGTATTTTTACATCGCGTTCTATGTTTCCGATCGGCCAATTACAATGGTTACACATTATCTTGTAATGGATATTTACCGGACTCAGGTTAAATATATGAAAATTTAATTCTTTTGTAGCTTTGTACGCCTGAACTCCGAAATTTAATTCATCGGGTGCTGACTGGCGAATACATAATAATATATGTTACGGAAGTTATTTAATTCGTATGCTTTTTTATTAGCTAACTAAAATTTTAATTTACCACAAGACAACTAGATTCGCAGCTTCCTATTACGTGTAGTGTAACGCGAATGCTGGGACCAACGGGAATTTCGTCGTTCAGTATAAATAAAATGCACTCTATGTCAAACTCGTAGTTTCCAATTGTAGTAGGGCAAAATATCCACTCGTGAATGACGGTATCGTTCGAGAAAATTTTGTTATTTTTATTTTGAATCTGGAGTTCAGGTGGGACGTTAACAAACTCGTATCTAAAAAATCGATATTAATCAAAAAGAATTATAATGATAAATTGATAATACCTCAGAGTAATATTCCTAATTAACTTTTTGCAACAAGAGATAAATAATGGCACACATTGATATTTTAATATCATTATAAAAATTTACTTTATTGTATGTCGAGTAATATTTCGCATGCAGAATTGTTGCGGTTCCCGACAATTTGGAAATGTCGGTGCAAAATTCACAAGATTTTGATCACTAAAACTGACATTAGCACATTCCGCGAATCCTCGAAAATCTATGAAATACTCCGATTTTATATTTCCGTTGAAACGTATCGCCCAACGCTCCACATAAACGCGTTCGTTGTCAGTACCGGGTAACATACCAACTACAATGATCTGATAATTTCTAGAAAAGATCACATAATATGTCTTATTGATCAACAAAAAAAAGTATTAAACGTGTTAAGAATATCACTCCATTAAATATTGTGTACAAATGTCTTATATAGTAAAGATAAAAATCATAATCGTCGCTCTAAATTATATACCTAACTATGCATGATATATATAATATATATATATGAATGCAATGATATCTAATCTACGCTAAATCCGAATAATTTGGACAATATTAAACATGTTAAATGCCCGTACTGATGAATTATTCCCATCATCGGCTTCACGAAAAAGTGGCTTGATGTCGGCGGAACAAAGCGATACATCAATGGTAAATGTCCGAACTTTTTTATCAGAAACGTGGTGTAAATCGGAAATGACGGTAAGCAAGGAGGCATTTTGATTATGTGAGGTATTTCGTATTGGGGGATCCAGCCATCGGAACAAATAGGAAAAGAATGACCTGTAAAAAAGAGAAAGTATGATATCGCCGTCAAATTAAGGTAATCGCAGCATTATGCAAAAAAGTGACAGAGGACATATGTACCGATTAATCGCACGGATGTAATTGTAGGAAATACAAGATTTTCCTCATAAGGAAGATCTTCTTGCTGTTCGGTGAAAACATATCCGACAAATTCTCGCGCGAATAAATTGCTTCCTTTGTCGGGATTAAATGTGACTTCGAATAGAACTGTCTGACCCGCTGGTACTTTCGCGATAGCGGGTATTATGTCGAAAATTTCTTCAATATCTATACATAATCTGATATTGATTGTCGATAAAAGAGATAGAAAAATAAATTAATATTCTTATAACTTTATTTGATTTTATAATTATCGCGATACTTAGATAATCTTGAAAAGTAAGAAAAAAAGATGTATGACAGCTATCATTATATACATCATAATTCAAGGATGAAACCTTGGTCCCATTTAATTAATACGTCAGACCGAGTGTGATTAGTAAGGCACAGAGTTTCTGAAATTTTTTGCATAGTATTTTCTGTCACCAAATTAGCTTGACCAAAATCGATATAATTTTTCGATAAAGAGATCACAGGTAAATCTTGCGCAGCGACGATAGTATCGCTCGTGTAGCTTTCGAAGCCATTCTTTAATCTCGTAGGATAATTAAAGCGATTCTGTATATTTGCTTTATGTAATAATGTCGAGCTGCAGTAACCGTATACTTCTATAATAATCGGTCTCTGTAATTCGAAAAAGATAATCATCTGAATATTTTATATGGTAATAGATAAGATAAAATAAGAAATTATTTTCTTTCTTTTTTATTGATGACAAATGTCATTATGTATTCATCATTAAAGAATAAGGAAATCATTTCTATTCGTAAAGATAATATAGATTATTTATAGGAATTCTTATATCAATTCAGAATGCTAGCCATGACATTATTTTGAAATAACATGACATCATTGATGCTAAGCGCAGAGATTTACATCATGTTTGTTTAATTAATTCAAGTTTTAATTTATTAAAAATCTAAATCTTTTCATTACGTGATTCAAGATTAAACACGGCAAGTGGCACGTATAGATTCCAGCTTCCTGAGGCGCAAAAGTGATTGTTATATATTTGCGAGAATGAGATCCGATGCATCCTTGCTTCGTGTCAACTTTGAATGATCTTTGCATCACATCGATGTCGAACATAAAAATTGCCGTGGCTTTGGAATCATTAACGAGCTTGATCCGTTTCTTCGCTTCGCGATTCTCGCTTGTGCATGTCATGATTAATCTCGTTGTAGACAAGGATATGGCAGGTCCTAGATATATTATTAGCCACGTCATAGACGATGACATTCATTCAATGTAAACATCATCCTAAGACAATCACATAGGACAAAAAAAAACGCTTCTCAGCATCCAGATAATTAATAATTCATAGCCATATGCAATTCATTCGACGATATTAAGAAGATGTTTTCAGACTTATTTAAGAGTCTTAGAGGTGACATTTACCTTATCGCATCTCGACTTTTAAATAGTAAGATAATCTAATCGTGATTAGATAAACTCTTTTTAAAAATCTATTAATGTCAATCGTGTACTTTTTTTAACGATTTAACTTCTTATTTTAAATATATTATTAAGCATGTTTTCTTTAGAGCTCGAGCCTTTATAAATTCTCTAATAATAAAAAATAATCCAAATCACATAGTTATATTGATTGAAAATGAAAAATTTCATACCGATACACATTCCACGAACTCTAATTTCCGCGCGTTCGCCAACGGAATCCATGATCGTAAAATAATCTACGTTTACGGAGAACGGCACGAACGGTCGATAGTATATTTTACACTTGTACATTTGGCCGGGAGGCAAAGTCCATGAATAGCTGCATAATTCGAACACGTGGTCCAGAGGATTGGTAGTAGCGTCTCTTCGAGCTTCGTAAATCTGTTCTATCTACAATTTCGTTCGATCAATGTTAATCGTAATCGCGATTCACGATGTCGTGAATCTTGCGATCTTTCATGCAACGATATACTTGGACATTAAGAATTCAAACATACTAACGCAACTTTCGTTGATTATCTCTATCCATTTGATAGCCGTAGCGTCCGCTTCCACTTCGCCAAATTCTACGTGAATTTTTCTCCCTTCGCAGCACATTATCCTTTGCTTCTATTATATCCGATTATCAATTACTATTTCTCTCTTCTTCCAAAGTGAAGTTGCGCTCCGAGAAAACGCGCCGCGATACCTTTCGAGATCTCGATCGCGATCTGATCGATATATCGAGCCTCTCGAACTCAATGACGTCCTCGGATGACGTCGCGACTTGTTTTGGTAACTCCCCCTACCTCCTACCACGAGGAGGGGGTGACGCATTTCTCGATAACGACGTTGCAGAATCTGCTCCGGGCTGCTCGATTCCACAAAAATAATCTCACGCAGGATTTCTGTCGCGGCGCGACAGCAAAGGAATAAACGGCGTTTCGTCATTCGCGGCGTCATCCGTGTACGACCGTCTCTCACGTTCTGCATATATGGCTTTGTGACATTTTGCGGGCCGCACGCGCGAATCGCACCCCGAAGAAAAAAAAAAAAGATGGTCCAGCCACGCGCCTCGTCGAGCGTCGTCTACCTCCTGATCGCGATCGCGCATCTCTCCACGTGCACGCGTCACGACAATTACAACGAATGTAAGTTCCCAAGTTTGACCTGTCAAGATTCATCGCGAACGGCATGGCACTCCTGTAGTGTGCGTGCTCTCGTCTCTAACCTCATCTCACCTTCCATGTGGTTTCTTCCCGTAGATTCTCTCGAGAATGAGAAGTTCTGTCATCCTTTGAACAAGAAGCACTCGCACGACCTCCGCAATGGTACCGCGGCGATCGTCACGTCGCATCACATGTTCGATCGTTGGATCGTCAAACGCGATCTTACGTGCACGTTCACCTTCAAGACCGCGAGGGGCGAGGGTCTCTTCGCGGTTATCCACAAAATGTCTTTTCGACGCAACGGCGATCAGTGTTTGGATTATGTACGGGTAAGTTGATGGATGATGAGCCCGATGATTCCCGGAGCAAATCTGATTATCTCCTTATTGTTAGTTTAATCGATCTTTGCACTGACATAATTTTTCTTTCTATGGAATAAAACTGTTTGATAATAAAATTATTTTCATGTTTTATATCGCAAACATTATATTAAGCGAGCTTTAATGTTTTGTAGATACATTTAAAATATGTTGCTAATTTTTATGCATTTCATAAAGTTTATGGTATATGTATAAAATTATATACATCCATATAATATTAATATATACAGTTTATTTATATCTAAGAAGTGTGACTGTGGTCAATCTTCTATTATATTCAGCTTTGAAAACATCTCTCTTGAAGACCCAATAGTAATTATTTACGACACTACATATTTAGTTAGCATTTATGTATATGTCCTGTATGATATTGTTTCAAGAAAAAATATTTTAATTTCCTCAATACACTTTACGAGTACATTAGAAATACCTATATTATACAAGAAACATGAAAAATATTACACGTGACAAAAATTAGATTTATTTAATCAGTAATTCTGAAAATTTGTAGAAATTACATTTAAAAAAATTTAAAATTAACTTAAAAAATTAATTTTCTCGATTTAGTAAAATGATAGATTGTACTAACTTTCAGATCAAGCTTTCAAATAAAGTTTAGTAGGGCTGAGTAAATTTAATTTAATTATATAAAGATAATGTATACATTATGTGCTTCTACACTTTATATTAAAGAAGTTTGCAGCAAATTATTGTTAATTATGTTAAGATAAAGAATTAATCAAGATCGTATCTCGATATAATTAAAATTGGCACTTGCAACATTAAACTTTTAACAGGTGTTTTATTAGTTTAAGAGAACAGACGGTCATTCTACAGAAAAGTTCTGTGGAGAGATAGACCGCCAGACAATGTACCCGACAATGTACTTTCCGGTTCCTGAATCTGAAGATAATTCACATAATATATATATGGATGATACCTTGCTGCAATCACATGACAAGTATGCCGAGTTTGATTCCATTAAGAAATGGAAACCGTTTACAATTATGGAACCTGTTAATATAGAATTTGAAACTGAGATATTCATCTCCAAGGAGAGATTGTTGAATGGAGAATATCTGGATCTTAGTATAGTTTACACTCCATACAGAAGTATGTTTTTCATTCTGATATATCTATATATATATATCAAATGTAACAAATATATATAAATTACAGACCATTTTGTTTGGTGATTCATTTATAGGTTGCAAGAAGATGGATCCCGAGCGATACAAACCGGTTGGACATAATGTTTGCATTCGGAAAGAATATCTGTGTGATATGACTTACAATTGCCCGCTCGGTATTTGTTCGGACGAATTTAATTGCTCACATATAATCACCGATCGGTTTCCCAGAGACGATACTGCCACGAAAGTCACTGTAGGAGCAATCACTACCATGATCCTCTGCTTTATCATTTTCATCATGTGTCTGTGGATCTGTAAGAAATCTCGCAAGTTGTGCTGGTCATCGGATTGCGCCGGTCCGAACATGTGTTCGCGGCCGGATTCCTTGCCGGACGCGGACGGAGGTCTGGGATCCAATCGCGCGGTACCCACGGCCCCTATGCTGGAGGTCGCGGTATCTTCCCCCGTTGCAAACAAGGATCTGCCTCCCAGTTACGACTCGTTATTCCCCGAACAGAGTAATCCTGCCAGATTGTAAGTTATTAAATCTGATTAGAGTTAAGCGCGTTGAATACATCGTCTAATGTTTTAATTAGGCGCTATGTTGCGTACACCCACGTGACGTAAGTTAGGCTGCTCTTTTCTCTACACACATATCTGTTCCACAAAGTGTGAACAAAATTCTATTGGAAATAAGAGGGCCTTGATAAAAAAAAAAAAAAAAAATTAATGTGAATCCAGCACCAATTTTGATATCGCGTGCCAACACGAGCTGGACGGTATAAATAGTTTCAGAATGTTGTTGATATTACAGACAAACCATAATCGAGAAACGTGGAATTGTAATACGTATGTATAGTAGATACTATCTTTTAGCAACGAGTTTTATTCTCGGACGAATTCTCATTTCATGTTCCTCTTTTTTTTTTGTATGTAAATAAGAAAGCCTTTAAAAATCAACTAATGTTTTGCATATATCATTTTTGATAAATTTGACCAATGCGCGATCAGTCTTCACAATCGAAGCGCTCCACTATACGCTCCACTACGGTTACGTCACTGCACTAGTAATACTATCGTACTAACATTATGTTTGTTTCTTGTATATTGATGAGATTAGGGAATGCTCGGTTAATACCTAACTCGGTTAAGTTTTGTTTTTTATGTATAGCTTTAAGTTTGAGAGTTTCGAGGTTTGGTATTATTATTTTATAATAAATATTAAAGAAAATGTATATTGCAAAAAGTTTAATCAACAACAGAACATAATCATGAAATCGCTTTTTGATATTTAACAAAATATAATTTTGCTACTTCTTACAAGATATTGATGCAGTATTTTTATGTTAATTAAATCTCAAGTTATTCCTTATTGGTTAACTTTGCTCGTTTAAATTATTATATACTATCATATTTGTATTAATATTGGGCAAGAAAAGTGAATTGTAACTATTTCAAGGAAAATAATCTAATGGGATCTACTGTGTTCATAGACATTCACAAAACAAGATACATGAACTTGCTGTATTAAATTATAGCATACTTTTTGATAAACGATGTATCTTATTTAGATACGCGCGGAGATATGTGTAACTTTTGTAGCTATAAAAGTATGAAAATTTTATAACAATTCATACAGACTCTATAGACATATGCGTGTATATTTTTGAGATTGAATGTTATTGTAAGTCTCTTTATAAAATGTATGTAATAATATTTGTAAATATTCAACTTGTGATAATAAAGACTTATAGATATATATACACGTAAAAAATCAAATGTTGCAAGATGAACATTTATTTCCCGTTTTTGAATTCTGTAGGTATATGCTCGAGGAACCACAGACAAACATTAATGATATGATCAATCTCAGCAGTTCCAGTTGATAATGGATGATTGTCTTCGTATACGAGTAATCTGCAACGTGTTAATTTTTTCGATAACGCGATGTATGATTTTGAGTCCATTGTACTTAGATACGAGTTTCAACTTACTTAGTTTTCACTTTGTTAGCTTTGAGCCGCTGATACCACATTATTCCTTGATAGGGTGGTACTCGCAAATCTTTGGTTCCAATGCAAATCAAAGTGGGTGCCTTAACTTTATCGATGTGCAAAATGGGCGAGCATTTCTTCATTTTTACAAACATGTCGATGTTATCGGGCCAAGGACCGTCAAAAATGTAAGAGAAACCTGCCTCTGTAGCACACCTGCAATGAATATAAAATCATGTATTAAAGTACAACAATATGACGAATCCTCCAAATATTTATATGTGAATTATTGTCACATATAATTCACAATACATTTACAAAAAAGAGAAAAAAGGGAAACTGTATTTCAGTCAAGCTTAGACTAGTCGCGACTGGTGGATACATTTGAGATAACGGTTAAGCTTACACATTATGAAGATATGCTATTTTCTCTTCCTTAGTCAGAGTATTGCGACTGAAATACAAATACGGGATATTGAATAATTTAGACGTGAATAATAACGTTATTAGGTGTTAAGTATCTCTTTACCAATCTGGAATATCCGATATACCAAACATGATGGAGATATCGATTACCGGATTTCTAGCGACTGCTGCTTTGTACATATCCTGAAATAAAAGTAAATTTTTATACTAAATGAATATATTTGCTTTGTGCATAATTTATATGATATATTTAAATTACTAAATTTATTATACAAATCCATTATATTTGTCTCGCTTACCGGAGCTTGCCCGCTCAAATGTGTTGCCAAAAGTCCACCGTGAGATCCACCGCAAACACCTATGCGATCAGGATCGAGCCAAGGATACTTTTTGATTGCTTCTTGTGTAGCAGTTATGCAGTCCTTCACATCTGTGTCTCCAACTTTCCCTTGAAGATATTCTACGGTCGCGCTGCCCATTCCCGTGGAACCACGATAATTCACTTGTATTATCGCAAAACCTGAATTTTATATAATTAATCCACTAAGCATATATTTATAATTCTTAATTCTTTAAATATTACAGATTTAAATGTAAATATATGGCTCTGTTCCATAAAAGAGGACTTGATTTTTGTCTATGATGCACAGATTCTTCTTTAAATTGTACGTTAAGCAGATAAATAAGGTTATATAAAAAACAATATATTTTTTCTGTTATAATTGTCACTATTAAGTGTCACATTTTACCACTTTAATTCTTACTTTACTATTAGATATAGCATGAATCGAATTTATTCTCTTATAAAACAAGTATAAGCAAGCGGAAGAATATCAATATGTAAGATCTGAATAACTCGAAGATAAGAGCAATCAACCAGAAAGAATAGAATGATCTAGATCAATTCTCGACCCAGTCATCTGTGCTCAATATATTTTTCGCTTATATGACTATACAGAAAAATATGATTTATAAACATAATACCTGCTGATACCAAGAAAGAGTGATCCAACGAAAATATGTTTGTGAAATTGCTATGAGGGCCTCCATGCAGTATCACTACAAAAGGAACTGATTTATCTTTACCACTTTTTGGACCAAAGTAAATAAAGTTAAATTGCTCTGAAAATAACATTAAAAAAATGTAATTTTTGAAATAGATATAAGAAAAAATTGCACAAACAATGCAATGCACTTACTTATGCTGTCATCGTTGTTATAAATATATTCATTAGGTTCGTACATAATTTCTTTAAGCTCGTCCATTTTCATTGGAGTTGTAATCGTAATCCTGGGAATATCACCAATATTTGCTGTTTTACTTTTAAAACGACCTACCATAAGGCTGGCAGGTTGTGTTAAGGAAGTATTTAAAAATGCAATTACGTCCCCTTTTACATCCAGTATACTAAGACTGCTTCCATCATTTTTTATTTCAGTAATATCTTTCGTTTCTGTAAATAAAATTTATTATTTTTGTGAGTAGTATAAATAGCAAAGATATTATTAATGTGATAAATTATAGTTCTATATTGACATAAAATTTTAGTATCTTACTTATATCAACAATATATGAAACGATATTGTTCCTTTGAGGTGTACTGAAAAATAAGTACTGGGAATCATCACTCCAACAATTATGAGGTAAACGACCATATATCCCATAAAAATGCCTGTTGTGATTAATTGTCTTGCTCATTTGTACTATTTCCACGATTTCGTTAACCTAGATTTAAAATAGAAAAGTTTTATACTCAAAACAGTAAACAAATTTTCTCTTTTAATTTCTAATTAATGTAATTCTTAATTTAATGTGATATTACCTGATTTTTTTCTATCTTCAAATCTCGTAACACAAGCGCGTGCGCATTATGATGCGGCAGAGCACCTGCCTTCCTCTGTAACCAAATAAGATAATTTCCATCAGGGCTAATTCTAGGACTGTGTACAGCACATCCATCATCAGACAACTTCCCTGTGCGATAAAAGTTATCATAATATTTTTTTGTTACTTTATATATGTATACTTTCTATAGTAATTATTTATAAATATTTTTTACAGTATTCTCCATTTTTCAATAAGAATATCCAGGAATATCTGTTAGTGCACGCAACTAGACCTAAGTATTGTGGCTCGTGCTTCCAAGCAACACCGACTACATCCTGATCTTTTGTCCAAATCACTTGACCAGGAGAAAGCTCATCTGGTATTCCAGATAAAACTGTAATGTTGTCTGTTGCCGTGTCAAGAACTACAACGACAGGTCGATGTTTTCCTACCAGCTGCTCTCCCCAGTGCGGCTTATAAATATATTCATTACCCTAAATTAACAAGGAAGGTAAATAAGATATAAAATATGTGTGATAGATTATTCATAAAAAAATTGAGTATTATGAGTATTTAAAAGAATAAAAGATTCTCACAACTGTTGCTTCTTCATCTTCTTTTTTCTCTTTATCTTTTTTGTCTAATGGTTTTTGTTTATAAAATGGTTCTGACTTAGGAAGCTTCTTTTCTGCTATATATAATACTTTGGTATTATCAGGAGACCACTCAAACGACCGGAACTCAACTGCAAAAAAAGCATATAGTTAATATATATTAAAAAATAAAAATTTGATATTCATACCATCTGTATAGACATCGCCATGGACATCCAAAGCAGATAGATCGTAATTCTTCACAAAATGTTGTTTATCCCAAATTTCTATAAATTGCTTTGCAGAATTATCAATTATAGCTTGACGCAACACAGCTCTACGTTCTTCATTTTTTGTTAGAGTGGACATGAGCCTATTTAAAACCAATTTATTCAAATATAAATAATATCGTAAATATTCTATATTGTTTATTAGAAATATATGCAAATTATATGTACTCTGTGGTAACATCAATTGGAAATTCACTGGAAATTGGAGTTAGATCTGAATTTAAGTCATATTTCTGTAGGAAACGTTGATCCGTCTTCCTCTCTAGATTTCTCTGCGTCCATAAGCCTTGTATGGATAATCTACCACTCACAGTACCCAGGATCCGTGCACCGCTTAAGGACGGATGTGCAGCTAATGATTTGTATAAATTTACTAATTCTTTTACCTGCAAAATACACATTTTCTGCATAATCACTTCACACATTATTTTATCACAGATTTTTTGTTATAAAAAAAATGTTAAAAAAATATCAATCACATATAAAGAAATGATTGCATACCTGTGCAGATGTCATCCTGATTTTCTTGTATCGTCTTTTGATGCGTTTTACAACATGAATGTTGAAAAATACACATACGTTTGAGATAACGCACTGGCA